AGTGGTGTTATAGTGAACATGTAGTAGTGTTATAGTGAACATGTGGTGGTGTTATAGTGAACATGTAAGGATGAGGTTGCACAATGGTTACTTTGGTAGACAATGACTAGTTTGATTTTACAATTACATGTTTATTAAAATCTTATACGGTTTTACGTCAAGTCAACAGTTAATGGAGTCAAACAATTAATAGAATCAAACAATTAATGGGAGTCAACAACTGATAGAATCAAACAATGAACAGATATTTCCTACGGCAGTGGCCCTGGGGGAAGGTTCTGGAACACGGTGATGCACACTCAGGGTAGGGAAGCGTCCATTCAACTCCACACTTGAGCGACGTCTTGAAATGGCAGAACACCGGGGCACAGACGGAATGAGATGAAATGGCAGTCGTGGTATGCGGTAGTGGTAGATGACCAGAGAATTGATAGTCGATAGGTGAAGGTCTGGGAACACAGCCCACGAGTCCAGGACCTATGATGAGATCACAGCCAGAATTTGACGGACAGCGGGGTAGCTAGATAGTGACTGTATGGCAGCTTGGGTTGAATCTGCCAGTGACCCAGAGGGTCGCTGCCGTTCTCACCTCTGTCCAACCGCCCTAAGTGTCGTCTGCACCAGCAAACGAGCGAGTTAGCAGCGGTAAACAGCAGGAAGATCGTTTCCGCCCTTACACAGCTCCCCCAACAAAAATCTACTGTAAGGTAGATTAAAACTTAAGATTAGTACACAAAGCATAATCATCTTACAACAAATCCTTAAATACACATTGCACAATAAAGAAGGGTCACATAAAAGAATAGGTGGTAACTTGATGTCCAAAACGTAAGGCCGTATCAAGGAACTGCACGTGGGGTCCACTTCAGTCCAAGTTTAAGTTTGGGCCTATTTCCAGTCGTAGAGGATTCTTCTATCTCGTCAGGTGTTGGCAGCAACTAGGAACCGAGATCACCAGACTCTGGCGTCCGAACTTCACAGGAACTCTTGCAGGGTAGTGCCTCGACTAACTCCAGCTTGGGGACGTCGTCAAGGACACGAGCAATGTGGGTCCTGCAATTATATTGCTTTAACAAATTAGCTGGATGTAATTTAGGCTTCTTAGAGGAAGGGGGTGAGAACGGTCCAACAAAATCTATGGCTACCCGAGAAGATGGTTCTGCAATGACGGGTAAGGGTTCAAGTGAAACAGGACGGACTCTACCCTTGGCGGACATACGTGGGCAGTGATCACAACTCCTACAAAAAGCTCTAATATCCGCTCCCATACCTGGCCAGTAAAACTGATCAGCAACCTTCCTATAAGTTTTCCTACGAGAACAGTGACTTACAAGAGAGCTCTTGTGAGCTACAGAGAGAATGTTACTCCGACAAACAGCAGGGACAACAAGTAAAACCCGACCTACTTTGGCTGGTCGCTTGGATGAAACACAAGACCTGTGTAACACCCCATTAATAGAAACAAACTTATAAACCGACCCATCTCTCACCTGATCCTCCTCCCCGGAAGTCACCTTCTCCCTTACCCGCTTCAGAGTGGCACACGAGTCTTGAAGCTTGGCAAACTCCTTGGGCGTCACAGTCAGTGGCAACAAATTCGGCAGAATCAGGGGATGCGGTCGTTTCACCTTCGCCGTCCGTGTCCCTACAGCTTGGACCTTGGCTGCAGGCGTGGCGGCGTGTGAGGGTGGCGAGGCGACGTCGGCAGGTGGCGTGAGGACTGGTGCTGGTGGTGAGGAGAGTTTTAACCGTTCCGGGTCGTTAGGGTCACGAACACCGGGAACATTACCAATGAGGACACTAGCAATTTTAATGGTTTGAACGGTGGATTTGAATGTTATATAGCGTAATATGAATTAAATGGGGTTTTTAGGAATGACAATGATGTGCGCAGTACATAAACATTGACCAATTTACCCCTGCAGTGACTGACAGGTAACCAGGGGATACCCACGTGCTTGTACTAGCTACCATCGTGTTATCAGGTGCATCACAACGGATCACTTGCATCCGTATATAAGGCCCAGACTCAAATCAAGAGCTCAGTGAAGCGGGCCATCCCGAGGTGACCACATCGATCCTCAGCCGCGCTACCCACGTCAATCCTGAAGTGGTTCAAAACAACGCACGGACTGTACTGTGAGTTACATGTGTGTGTCCATCCATCATCGACTTCTCTCACGATGTGCGTGTGTGTTTATTTTTATTTATGTAATATACCATTTCGTTAAGCAGTGCTAATATCCATCATTTAACTAACTACACAAGGGCATGTGTTTTTATACAGTAACGTGAAATTGTGAAAAGTATATGTGCATGAACAGTCACACTAGGATTAATAACACACGTATTAATTGTGACCGTGAATTATGTTGATATAATGTTATACAGCATTATGGTCGTATTATTTTAGGTCGCGAGAAAGATGGTAAATCTAAAAGAATACCGTTATTTATTTCTTCCACAAACGTATTATACGTCAATTAAATAAAATAAATACTTTTGCCATATCCACAACAGAATAAAATACACTTTAACAAAATCTTTTATACTGTACATGTTATTGATGTAAACATGGTGCTGCGAGGTGGCTGCATGCAGACATGAGTTGGGGATGCTTTATTTCTTTATTAATATATTGGTCTCATAAATTGAACAAGAGACCCTCAATGTTCTTAAAATGTTTCTTTTGGTAGCGCATTAAACGACGCTGTTTCACTAATTGGACTTGCATGGGTACCAGTGAGACCTCTGTGTGCAGTAATTCTATAAATCAAACACAGACATGGGTTATGAGGAAGTCACGGAATGCCGCATAGATCTGCAGCGTAGCCAACTCAGTTAGGTTAGATAATTTACTTTTATCCTCTTCACTGACCGGCTCGTTAAGTTGGTTTCACAATAAGCTGTTACGGCACGACTGTCTGGCCACGACACAACAAAACGTCGTGTCTGGGGAGTGGAGATTGAATTCACTGGCGGGACGACACAGCTCACGTGGCCAGTCAGTATGTTTACCGACGAAGAAGGGGCAGTTGCAATATGGTATTATTTTTAGTAAAAAAAAAAGCACGTGGAAAGGCACTACCTGTGATATTCAGATCATTTCAAATTTTCAACGAAAGCTTATCCACAACTTTATTGCTGTGATCCTTCAGAGTGAAGTCATAAACTGCCCTCCTTTCCTGCACGAGTGAGATCAACCTCTGCATGGCAGCTTCTTCACCCTTTGGAGTATGGAATTTGAGTGGCTGGCCCCGACAAGTGCAGCCAGTCAGCACCAGACATGACAGTTGATGTTTTTGTCTCGTGTCGTGACAGCTCATTGTGAAACTAGCCTATGATAGGGGCAGCTAGGTAATAAAATGCAGGTGAAAGTATGGTTGTGAAGGGAGGGTGGAGGCCATAAAAAAAAAACTTGTAGTAGTAATGGTGGTGGTGATACTACTATTATCAAAAATATTATTTTTTTAAGAAGTAATATCTCAGATAGGCCAGATAGACTATCTGGGTTTGTAACAGTATTTGTCATGTGACACCGTGTGTAGTACAGCACAGTAGTCTGTCAGTGTGCGAAAGTATAATGTGAGTGTAGTGTGCGTGTGTAGTGTACAGTATGTGTTAGTGTAGTATGTAGTATATGTGTGAGTGTAGTGTGTAGTGTATGTGTGAGTGTAGTGTATGTGTGTGAGTAGTGTCTTTGAGTGTAGTGTGTAGTGTATGTGTGAGTGTAGTGTATGTGTGTGAGTAGTGTCTGTGAGTGTAGTGTGTAGTATATGTGTGAGTGTAGTGTGTGTGTGTGTAGTATATGTGTGAGTGTAGTGTATGTGTGAGTGTAGTGTATGTGTGAGTAGTGTATGTGTGTGAGTAGTGTGTGTGTGAGTGTGTGTGTGTGTGTAGTGTGTGTGTGTGAGTGTAGTGTATGTGTGTGTGTGTGTGTGTGAGTAGTGTCTGTGAGTGTAGTTTGTAGTATATGTGTGAGTGTAGTGTGTGTGTGAGTGTAGTGTCTGTGAGTGTAGTGTGTAGTATATGTGTGAGTGTAGTGTGTGTGTGAGTGTAGTGTATGTGTGAGTAGTGTCTGTGAGTGTAGTGTATGTGTGAGTGTGTAGGGGAGTAGTGGTCTGGGAGTGTGAGGTGTAGGGGTGTGAGTGTGTGAGTATGTGTGAGTGTATTGAGTCAGGTATGGAGGTAGTGTATGTGAGTGTGTAGTGTGGGTGTGCATGTGAGTTCGTGAGTATAAAGTGAATTATGTGAGTGTGTAGCGTCAGTGAGTGGAGTAGTGTTGAACAGTCTTTATTAAGTTAATGGTCTTATGCAACCTCACTCCATCAAGACCAAGCTTATATGAGGAGAGCCTTATGATACCAGAACAGAGTCATGAAGGAGCCATTTTCTCCTCACCGCCATCCTCATCCTTAAGACACCTCCATTAATAAGTAATATAAACGTTTAATAACAAACCAGTAGGAAGAATTGTGGATCATGTGAAGATTAGTCACCCCAGCTTATTACGCACTATTAAACCACTTAAAACCCTGTCAAGTAGCTTTAGAGTGTATTATTTTCATGTGATCTTATATGAATTAAAACTACAGAGTGGTTGGCTAGTTTAGACGGTAAATCACCCACCGCCTTCTTTTTCTTGTGATTTAATACAATTGAATCAACTTCCGGGAGTTATTGCTGCATGGCGTCAATGATTCGTGTATTGTGTCTGTGCATCTGTCTGTCTGTCTGTCTGTATTTATCTATTTTGTTGCGTATAACAGAAGTAAGAGGTTTTTTACCAAATTGATTTACTGAGATAGTGTTTGTTAATAAATACCAGTTATCAGTTGCGACACACGCACGCACTGCAATTGACATAAGGGAAGTGGTGTTGCGTGGTAGTTTTGTGTGGTAGACAGTAAGTGTTGTGTTGAGGTGGTGGTGGTAGTGGAGGAGGTGGTGGTGGTGGTGGTGGTGGTGGTAGTGGAGGAGGTGGTGGTGGTGGTGGTTGTAGTAGTCAGTGTGGCGCCATCGAGCGACCCTGTAAGGCGAGTGCAACCAAGCCTCCCGTTGTCGTACCCTATCACTGCTGTTAGGACCGTATCGGCTGGGAGAGTGAACACTGGTCTGTTGGTACATCATAGGGGGCCGAAACTCTGGTACCATAACAGCATAGTGTGTTATCCTTTACTGGACATAAAGCGATCATGTAGTACCACAAGGGCTCAAAATATATCCCGTCTTTATGAATATTTAATGAACGTGGAAATTTACATGTGTTGAAGTGGAAGAATTAAAGATGAGAGAGAGGGGGGGGGGTGAAGTGTTATCCTACACGGCTTTCTGAACATGATTGATGCGGTCGGCCGCGGCGTTCCAGTGGAAAATTCCTGGACGGGTGAGTGTAGTTTACATCGACTTATTGACTCGCTTTGCAAGTTCCTTCGCCTTTTTCACTTCATTGCTGTCGTATTTTAGTTGTGACACTTCCCCTATATACTACTGTCAGGAGTTGTGACACTTCCCTTATATACTACTGTCAGGATAACTTATGACACTTCCCGTATACTGTCAGATTTAGTTGTGACACTTCCCTGCACTACTGTCTGACTGAACAAGCAGGGTTTAAGGTTAAGTACTGTTTAGTCTTGGTTAAGTTAAATTACAATAGGTTGGGTTAAATTAGGTTAGGTTAATTAAGATACGTTGGGTTGAATTAGGTTACGTTAAGATACGCTGGGTTGTGTTAGGTCAGGTTAAAATGGATTAGGTTAAGTTAGGTCGGGTCGGGAGGCTAAGTTCTATCAGCTCACATAAGGTTAGGTTAGGTTTAGTGATACGTGTTCCTCTGTGAAGTAGCTAGAAATTAGGTTGCTGTGAGTGCAATTGTCAATCCTTAAATTGTTCAATTAATACAGGCAACGTTATGAAATGTCATCAATAGTATGGGGTAGAATATATATCACAAATACACTGTGAATCATGACCAACTAAACAACTATCACATAATATTAGTGTCTGTGTGATTGCATGTTATTCCTATTCCACGATTATTGTTTCTCTCAGTCTTCCCTTATTCTCCTCTCCTCCCCGATTCTACGTTCCTCACCCCATCCCCCCCCTCTCTCTCTCTCTCTCTCTCTACGACAGAGTAAGATTAAGGGTTAAAGGTGTAAGGAACAAGAAACTAGAATAATTCAGAGTAAGAAAGTGGAATTAAAGAATAAAGGAGAGAAATAAATAGAAAATAAAGTGAAAACCCTTAACTGTTAAACTACCACCACTCACTTCTACCACTACCACCACTACACTACCACCACTACCACCACCATTATACTACTGCCACTGTCACCACCACCACTACTGCATTTATTGATCCAGTCCCTCACCTGGAGACCACGGTAAGTGACGCACCTGGTAACACCGTCACTGCCGCGCTCCACCCCAGTCCTTCCCTCCTTCACCCCAGTCCTTCCCGCCATTCCCTCCTTCACCCCAGTCATTCCCGCCACCCCCTCCTTCCCCGTCACTCCTTCCTTCACCCCAGTCCTCCCCGTCACGCCCTCCTTCACCTCAGACCCATCCCCCGTCACTCCTTCACCCTTTAGATACAATACGGGCTGATAATTAGTGACCATTATCTCACATAATGGTACTATATATTTCTGCCGTTGTATAGTAAAGTATATAGCTGTTAATAATTTATAATGTGTATAAACAGTTGGTCTACCTTATCACCAAAGATAATAGGAAAACTTGTTTTGTTTTTTAAGAGAGCCGTTGAGAAACTTTGGGAAAGATATACAATGAAGCGGGAAGCGAAGCCTTGAACCCTTGAACCCGGATAATGCCTGCGAATGAATTCTTAGTAATATAATAATAATTATAATAATAGCTATGTTTCTCTCACTCACCAGCGTGTTTAACTGATTTTCCATTATTTTTTACACGGTGAGACCAACGCGACGTCACGATTGTTGTTTTAACAGCCACTGGATGTTTACCGTGGCCATGGTTAGGTTAGGTTATAGCCACTCTGGTCCAAACGTCATACAACCATTATAACAGGATGATGATAATATTTTGATCTGTAGTAGTGAATTTCTTATTAGTGAAATAAGAGGTACTGCACTTTTATCTATTCTCTATCGAAACAACTGAAGAGTAGACACCCCAGCATTTTTCATCTGGAGAGTTAACCATCCTAATGCTAACCTAACGCTAATTTAACCTAACCTAATCCGCCTAGGTAGTGTTAGGGCGTTTAATCATCAATTGAAGTAAGCTAGGGTGTGTCTAATCTTCAGGTGATCCCCCTAACCCTGTATGTTGAGTTCTAATGATCGATGCTCCAGGTCCAGCAGTGATATGAGGGGGTACCAGACACCACCGACCACAACTACCTGTATGGGACACGATGACCCCGGCGAGGTCCATGTGGTGCGGCCCACCCTCACTGTGGCCCACCGCTGCTACAAATACAATTATGTCGCCTCTCAAAAGCCAGGTAAGTGTGGCCCACTCGCTGTGGTCTAGGTAGGTGTGGGCCATCTTCACTGTGGTCCAGGTAGGTGTGACCTACCCTCACCGGGGTCCAGATGTGTGGCCCACCCTCACTGTAGTCCAGGTAGGTGTGGCCCACCGTCACTGTGGTTCAGGTAGGTGTGGCACATCTTCACTATATTTCAGGTAGGTGTGGCCCACCCTCACTGTAGTCCAGGTAGGTGTGACCTACCCTCACCGGGGTCCAGATGTGTGGCCCACCCTCACTGTGGTCCAGGTAAGTGTGGCCCACCCTCACTGTGGTCTAGGTAGGTGTGGCCCATCCTCACCGGGGTCCAGATATGTGTGGTCCACCCTCACTGTGGTCCAGGTAAGTGTGGCCCACCCTCACTGTTGCGCGGGTTTCTAGTGTTGCAATGTGTGTGTGTGTGTGTGTGAGGGCATATAAACACCATTAGAAGCACAACAGGTGAAGGCTACCCGACGTTAAACAGCACCTGTCTGGGCTGGGAAAGTCACGTACTGCTGTTAATATAATAGGTTAGCCGCTAGACAGACATTGCAGTGGCTGTCTGGTGACCTTGCTGTGTTTACTGTATAGGAACCGTCAGCGCCTTGCAAGGATGACCCACCCTACCACCACCACACTTTGACCGCCAGATACGGTAATGGCTGGAAAGGGGGCGTCCATTATCACCGTCACTTTACTTTTCTAAATAAAGTATAATTTGTATTCTCACATCTACTCATACATAATACGAGATATCAAGAACATGACTTTACAGGGTGGCGGGCTCAAGTGAGACAACGTGTGTGGGAAGGTTGGCGATGCTCCCGTGGGTGTGTGTGGCGCTCGGTGGTGAAGCGGGTGCCCATCCTCGGCTGGCTGCCCGCCTACAATCTGCGTGCCAACCTCTTTGGTGACGTGGTCGGCGGCATCACCGTCGGCATTATGCACATCCCACAAGGTAAAGACAAGATAGCTGTTATTGACATTTGTATAAAACAGTAATGTTTCTTTTTACTACTGTAAGTCATAGTTGGGGGGTATGTGTCTTGGACTGTAAACAATGGTCTGCTTTAAGGCCTATTCCAAAAGCACTGTTAACATACACATAACTAATATATCACACCCGTTAAAAATATATATTATGCTCTTAAGTCATACCTAACAAATAATAACCTTGTAAAAAATTACATTCCCTTGTAACACATAACTAACAAATACATTCCTTTAACACACAACTAACAAATACATTCCCTTGTTAACACGGTAAATTAACTCCCATGCATCAAGAGTGGCACCTCTGTTGGTCTAGTGAATGACATGGTTATCGATGTCTCTGGCAGGTATGGCCTACGCGCTTTTAGGTGGCCTCCCGCCCATCACTGGTCTATACATGGCTTTCTTCCCCGTCTTGATGTACATCTGCCTCGGCACCTCCCGCCACGTATCAATGGGTTAGTTCCTCCTTGTATGTTAGCTGGTCACACACCTTCAACCAATTATTTAATATGGTAGCCTACCTGGTCCTTTCCGGATTTCAGATTGATTCGATTTTTTTTGGAAACTAATAGAAATTACGTGAATAGTACATATAAGTACAGCATAATAGGAAAATGGATTAACTACAAGTAAATAAACTTAATGACTGTATTATATAAATTTAAGATTCAGGCCTGCGATATCATCCGAATTTTAGAGTTTTTCCCCACTTTAGAATCCCGAATTTCATAGGTCCAATTTTTTTATGTCGCTGTTTCAGGGACGTTCTCTGTAGCCTGTCTGATGATGGCGAAGGTGGTGGGGGAGCTGTCCTCGGAGAAGCCAACGTCTCTAACACTTTCCAACACCACGCTGGAGTTTCTTGATCACACCGCTACTACCACGGCGGCTACCCTCACCAACACCACCTACACCCCCCAGCAAGTGAGCGCTGTGGTGGCCTTTGCTGTGGGTATGTGGGAGGTGAGTTAATCTCATGACCAAAGACCACTTTCGTTCAAAATCTTAATATATGTACTCCTGAACATGCTGAATAAGGATCTGTTGTCTGCAATTTGATATCTGTAAAATTACTTGTACAAATGACTATTATTTTGCTTTCGGACATAGCTTCCCCGAAAGTTATAAACTACTGAAACATTTAGATCTCGCTATTCTGAGCATTTTGAACCAGATATATACATGGCGGAAATGGATAATAGCGACACAATTGAATTGAATTGATTTTAAGTAGTTTTCAGTCATCGTCTGAGATGTTATCTGCGTATCACGCATGCGCAAAGTTGACTGACGTCACCCAGTCGTGACCAATGAGGTATCAATATCTTCACGCAAATTTTTTTCAACCAATCCCATTTGATTTTTTCAGAGTAAGCAGCCTGGGTAATTAATAATTTCATTGACCAGTCTCACAATGGCCGTGGTGGAGGTAGGTTGTTGTTTGTGCTCCTTCGCTTATTTCAAGTTTATTGCCGAGCTTTACGAGAGAGACGACCATTCTTACGTATCCCAAGTCCTTCTACGTCTAAGGTATTGTACTTTCGGACACAGCGCGCCCCAAAGTTTTTAACTATTACTCCCCGCCTATGGTTTACAAGCCATGAATAACAGGATGTTCGCAGGAGATCTACCTGCATACTGTTGGATTGAAGAAAAGATTTTTTTTTATTGAATTGTGCAATAACTTGTTTTTGACCACCATTATTAAGAGGATTTTTATTTTTTATTTTTTTACTTATTTACTTATCTATTTATTTTATTTATTTTGTTTTTATTATTTTTTACAGGTGTTGCTGGCGGTGGTGCAGCTCGGGGAGGTGTTCAGTATGTTTCTCTCAGACATGCTCATCTCGGGTTTCACTACGGGCGTCGCAGTACATGTCGTCACCTCACAAGTCAAGTACCTCTTCGGCATCTCCGTCCCTCGCTTCAACGGCCCCTTCAGGCTCATCTACGTGAGTGTGTTTATGAGTCATCCATGTTATTGTGAGTGACGAGTGTGTTTATGAGTCATCCATGTTATAGTGAGTGACGCCTTTATGAGTCATCCATGTTATTGTGTGAGTAACGCCTTTGTTCCACAACACTCCATTACTACTCAGCACGACCACACTAATACACCCTATGTTCACACACACACTGCCTCCCCTCACTGTAAGATAAGATTATGTTATCATTATTAGATTAGGTTAATATTAAGGGTTAATAAGATGTGGTTAATCTATACGTGATTGAATGTTTTATTTATTTTGAAGTTGAAGTATAATTAATTTACAGTTATTCATTCGATTTACTGTGGTTTCAGACGTACAAGGAAGTGGTGACTCGTCTGACATCGGCCAATCCTATGGTCATGGGTCTCTCTGCCTTATTCATGGTTATTCTTATCTTTAACAACGAGATCCTTAAGGTGGGAGTCTTAAATACTGTTTTTGGTAATATTTTACCAAAAGTCAATAATCTACTTCCCCGAAAAGTCGATAATCTACTTTCCCGAAAAGTAGATAATCTACTTTTCGGGAGAGTAGATAACCAACTTTCCCAGAAAGTAGATATTTCCCATTTTCTATGATATAAATTTCCCATTTTCTATGATAAGTAGATAACCAACTTTCCCAGAAAGTAGATATTTCCCATTTTCTGTTATACAAATTTCCCGTTTTCTATGATAATCTAATTCAGAAAATTAGGTAATATTTTACCAAAAGTCGATAATCTACTTCCCCGAAAAGTCGATAATCTACTTTCCCGAAAAGTAGATAATCTACTTTTCGGGAAAGTAGATAACCAACTTTCACAGAAAGTAGATATTTCCCATTTTCTATGATATAAATTTCCCGTTTTCTATGATAAGTAGATAACCAACTTTCCCAGAAAGTAGATATTTCCCATTTTCTGTTATACAAATTTCCCGTTTTCTATGATAATCTAATTCAGAAAATTAGGTAATATTTTACCAAAAGTCGATAATCTAATTCCCCGAAAAGTCGATAATCTGCTTTCCCGAAAAGTAGATAATCTACTTTTCGGGAAAGTAGATAACCAACTTTCCCAGAAAGTAGATATTTCCCATTTTCCGTTATACAAATTTCCCGTTTTCTATGATAATTTAATTCAGAAAATTAGGTAATATTTTACCAAAAGTCGATAATCTACTTTCCCGAAAAGTACAGTATATAATCTACTTTCCCGAAAAGTAGATACTTACGATCTTTTGAGAATCCGAATTTACGATCTTTTTAATTGTCGTAAGTTCGAACTTAAGAGAAAAAATTACTTACGATCTTTCTCATTGTCGTAAGTTCGAACTTAAGAGAAAAAATATCTTAGGATTTTTCTAATTCTCAAAAGATCGTAAGTATCTACTTTCCGGTGACGTAGATTTTCTACTTTTCGGGAAAGTATAAAAATTGGTTCTTATCATTTTACCTTTGGAACCCTTTTGTTTTCAACTTTTTTATTAGGATAATTATAAACAAAGAAAAAGAAGTATTTTTTTTTCATTTATACGACACATTAAGTTACTCTACAAATATTTATTGTAATGATTGACACCAGGTTACTGCTAGGTTAGGTTGCCCTTATGGTACTACAACCTGTGTACACAGGGTCCCATAAAGGTCACCCAACCTGGATCATGCAAGGCTACCAGTGTACCTTGGTCGACGTGTCTCGCCTATCTCTATAGTAGGGGGCTCGGATAAGCCTCGGCACCCAGCCCTTGGCAGCATCACTGTCCCTAGCAGTGACAGACAGCCTTTAGTTTCATCACATAGCCCTTACTAGCTGTACACAACTAGCTACTTATAAGCCCCCTAGAAGCATCATGTAGATCTTAGGGGAGAATCAATCAGCCTCCTCAGAGACACAGATAGCTCTTAAGAGCCTCACACATCCCCAAGTTGCCACAAACATCACTTATCCCCTTGAAGTTACACTGCCTTGAAAATAATTTTAACATGTACAACATTAAAAAAAAAATACAATTTCAAAAGTTTATCCAGAAGAAAAATTCATTGGTTACAAAGCAAGTTGTGAACACGTAGAATATAAATTACTGATAATTAAGGTAAATTGTTTAAACTATTGCCGTACAAAGTTCTCAAATTATAGCTACAGGTATTATTTTTTATTTTTTTATCATTTTTTTACTATTATTATTACTGAAGTACATTTTCGCCCCCCAGACCCCGATGTGGGTCATGACCTGTGCCCAGGTGGGCTAATCCCTGGGAAAAAAATACTCAAAGGGTTAAAGTTAGCATGGTTAATCTTCAAATGCAATAAACTGGGGTACCTATTCTTCAGATGCAATAAGCTGGGGTATCGATTCTTCAAGTGATCTATCTCAGGAAACTTGTGTCACTGGTAGATTTTGTTTTCCTCAGCCACGAGTGAAGAAGTACACGAGGCTGCCAATCCCCATCGAGTTGTTGGTTGTGGTGACTGGGACGGCTGTGTCCTACCTCGCTAACCTCAGCAACACCTACCACGTGCAAGTCGTCGGAGAGATTCCTACTGGGTGGGTGAATCTCTCTTCCTCTCACATACACACACGTCACTGTATTGCTCCTTGGTGGTCACAGCCGAGTTTTACCACAATACTTCTCCCTCGAATGAAGTTGGTAGTCCCCTTGGGTTCCGTTGTTTATGAGACAATGAACAAGAAAGAGACTGAGAATTAAGACATCAAAAACTTTACTTAGAAATACACAACACTATCATAAATAAGGGATGTATTAATAATGTATCTAAAGTTAGTCATTCATAGTGTCTCCTGTTACCTGTAGGCTGCCAAGTCCCTCCGAGCCTCCACTAGAGCTGCTGTCTCGGGTGGCCATGGACGCCTTCATCATTGGGGTCATCAGCTACACCACTACCTTCTCCATGGCCAAGATCTTCGCCAAGCGTCAGGGCTACACTGTAGACGCCAAACAGGAACTTTACTCCCAGGTAAAACTTTCTGGTGCTGTGGCTGACAAATGTATGTAGATCAAATCAGTCTTGAGGGACGTTATGATGCTTTTGCAGTAATTGAATAATCGTTGCACAATGTTTATTATTGAAGCAGTGTTGATAAATATTGTAATACACTTATTATAACTGCAGGATTTGATCATTGTTGCAAGGTGTTGGTTACTGTTGCAGGGTGCGAGTAACCTGTTCGGGTCTTTCTTCTCGTGCGGGCCGATGGCGGCTGCAATGTCTCGGTCACTCATCCAAGAGGCGGTGGGCGGTGTCACCCTCATCACCTCCTTCATCTCCTGCTTGTTCATCCTCATCGTCCTGCTGTTCATCGGGCCAGTCTTCGAGACACTCCCCAATGTAAGAGGTTCACCTGTGTGTATTGTACTTGCAGGTCCTCCTGAAATGCCCCCCCCAAAAAAAAAGAGCTAAACTGACAGGATGTCATCATTAATGTTTGTGTTTTATGAACACATTCAAGGTGCCATACATACAAAAAAAAATTTAACAAAATCTGATAAACCATCATTATATATAATTGAGTCTCTTTGTTGGGTTTGTTCAGCTCCTTATGCATTCCAGGAGGCCAGGACAGCCTCCCATACCGTGTGAGGGATGAGTCATGACTTGTCCAAACACCCACTTGAGTGTGAAATTTTTACAAGAACACTTACTACAGAGTAGTGTTGTGTTAGTACACTATGTTGTGGTTAGTGTGTTGTGTTTCAGTGTGTTGTTATTACAGTGTGTTGTTAATGTGTGCCGTTACAATGTGTTGTTATAGTGTGCTGTTGTTACAATGAATTATTACAATGTGTTACAGTGCGTGTTGTCGACCATCATCGTGGTGTCACTCAAGGGGCTGTTCCTTCAGTTCCACGACCTGGCGGCGCTTTGGGCGACGTCCAAGCTAGACGCCCTCATCTGGGTCGTCACCTTTTCCGTCTCCGTTATCGTCGACATTGACTATGGGCTGATGGCGGGTGTTGGCATGTCTCTGTTGGTGCTCCTGGCCCGTAACCAGTGCCCGCCCACTGCACGTCTCGGCCACGTCCCCTATACTGACGTGTATCTTGACCTGACTAAATATCAGCTTGTAAGTTTTAGATGACAAAGATTACCCCCCCCCCAGCTTATTTCCCCTGATGATTAAATACATGACAAGAATGCTACCACACAATAGTACCTCCTGATTGCCATTAAGTTTCTCCAGAGATTAAAACAATTGAGTCTTAAATTGCATTATCTAATTACACACTTGGATAAAAATACGGTAACATTTTGGTGTGATCTGTGTACAGGCGGAGGAGGTGGCTGGGGTACGCATCTTCCAATTCGGTGGAGCTCTTCACTTCGCTAATATAAAATACTTCAGGTCCAAGCTGGTCTCCGTAACTGGACTAGACCTGGCAGCCCTCATCACCGCCAGACTAGACCACCTACAAAACCACAACGAATCCCCAGAACCTACCATTTATCCACGCTTGGTCAGTGGTGTTGTTCATTCTCTTCAGTTCAATTTTAGTCCGTAAAATCAATATAGCTGTCCAAATTTAGGTAGTCCGTATAGGGTGTAAAATCATGAGCGCCTTTGTTGACGTTTGCCGCGATTGGGAACATTATATAATTTATTGAACCATAGTAACCTACCTAAATAATGTTATAATGTTTAAGGGACGCTCAAGTTTAGGAAGGTTAACAGCAGTACCTGATATTTTAGAATGTTTATTGAACCATACTAACCTACCTAATCTAAATAATGTAATAATGTTTCGAAGAAGCTCATGTTTAGGTAGGTTAACAGCAGTGCCTGATATTTTAGAATAATCTCAATCTCGCCGAATGTCATCAAAGGCTCTTGCAATTTCACAGCCATCCACGCATAACTCACATACTGTTGATAATAACTACCGATTCCCTCAGCCCAGTGTAGCAAGCATCAGTGAGTGTCAAGTGAGCAACAGTAAGACTCAGGAGACGATACTTGATGACGAGATTTCACCCATCCAAGGCTCTGTCAGTAATGGATCTCTCGACAAGGAGAAACTCAAACAAGTGGTGGACCCAGGGACACTAACAACACCGCTGACACCTACTTCACACCCGGACACCGGCATACACCCCAGTGCTGCCTGCCTTGCGCTCCCGGTACACCCTGTGAATTGATTCTACACATTTAACTATTAATGAACGCCACAGCTGGTAGAATTATATAAGTGCTTAAGAGTAACTATAGATAACCTAACCCAACCAAACTCAATCTAACCTAACCTAAGTGTGTGTGTGTGTGTGTTACAAGCAGTACAGTGATAACAGTGTGTATGTGTGTGTCAAGCAGTACAGTGATAACAGTGTGTATGTGTGTTTTACAGGAGGTACAGTGGATGGTACTGGAGATGAGCGGAGTGACCTTCGTGGACACTATGGGGGCCAGAGTCCTCACACAGCTGCACAAGGATCTGAGAGATGCTGGCATCAAGCTCTGCCTTGCTGGTGCCACTGGTAAGTCACTCACCACTTAAAAGTTGAATTATATGCTTTGTTAGTGAAGATTAATTTGAGCTAGGTTGAGTTGAGGCCAGGTTATATCAGTTTTAGGGTGAGTTTAGATCAGATTAGGTTAGGTCAGGTCAGATTAGCTTTGGTTAGGTTTGAGGAAGGTGTTGAGACAGTTGAGGACTAGTAAATGGCTGAGATGAGGTGTAGTTAAGATGACCCCACCAGAAGTGACCATAGATACAGAGGGTGATCCGACCTTTTCAGGTGACCCGATACCCAAACTAACAGTTCACCAGTGCTAAATATACCACACAAACAACTAAGATATAGTAATAATGACCCCAATGGGATGAATGATCACAGGCATTAGGAACCTTGAATGTAGGTACAGATTAATAAAACTCATTCTCTGGGATGTAGAATGAGGGGCGATAAGATCCAAGTGTGTAAGTGGAAAATGAGGTTAGATTAAGGTGATATAATTATTAAACCAGGAGCAAACACGTAGCAATAGTTTTAAATTGAACAGGTTTAGAATTAGGCAAACATTGTTTTGTTAACAGAGTTGTGGAACAAGTTACCAAAACCCATCAGTAACTCAACTCGTAGAGAAGGTTGGACAGATATTTGAGTGATAAGGGTTGGGTGTAAACAGAGATGTGTTGTATGGGTCAATAAGACTAATGCAATTTCCTTTTTTGCTTATGTTCTTCTTTAACCAATGTGAATTATTATTATTATCATCATCAAGAATATTGTCTTATAGATGGCGTGGAGAGGACCCTAAGCAGGTGCGGGACACTGGACGCCATCACTAGAGACCTGATGTTTCACTCTACACACGACGCCCTCACCGCCATCACCCACTCACAGCTCAACCTGCCCTCCCACAGTCTACAGCCTCATCCACCCCCCTCCCCTCTTCCTCTATCTCATACTGTCCACAATGATTAGATAAAACTGCAGCGTGTTGAGGTGTATCCGTGATCAAGTGATGTTCAGTGCAGTCAAGATGAAGCCCCCTCGTTATGTCTGTGATAATGCAGGTCACCCCGAGGTCAAGGGTCAATAGCCGTGGAAAGTGTGGTCAGTATTAGGAAGGCAAAAGGACCAAAGGAACCGTGACCTCAGTACAGAATCTTGTGTCCCCATGCAGTAAGGCCTCCGTTGTGACCACAGACCGGTTTATGCCCACTTTGTCTACTTCCTTTGTCTATTCTTAAAATGGTACATATTCCCGAAGTGTCAGTTAATGATGAGCTAATCTAACCTAAAGGGAAATAGACGAAAATGGGAGTAGACAGACTGGGTGGTGACCTACTAACCAGCCTAGTCCACTACTCTGCACTTTGGTCGGTTCTTTTAGTCTTATTCACTACACAGTTACTTAGTATTGGGTTTTATATCTAGGTGTTGGGTTTTATATCTTTGTATTGGGTTTTATAACCAGAAGTGTAAGTTATAAGAGTGCAGAGGTCTTATTGCAACTATATCTTGCGCTAGTCAGGCCGCACCTCGATTATGCGGTTCAGTTCTGGTGCCCCTATTATAGAATGGATATAAATTCACTAGAGTCGGTGCAGCGAAGAATGACAAAAGTGATTCCGGGACTTAGAAACCTTCCATATCAGGATAGGTTAAAGAAACTAAACTTGCATTCCCTAGAAAGACGAAGAGTGCGGGGAGATATGATAGAAGTATTTAAGTGGGTGAAAAGAATCAATAAAGGGGATATAGATAAAGTTCTTATAATATCCGAGCAGGATAGGACTCGGAGCAACGGATTCAAGTTGGATAAGTTTAGGTTTAGGAGGGAGATAGGAAGGAACTGGTTCACAAATAGGGTGGTGGACGAGTGGAACAAGCTTAGCAACTTTGTAGTAAGTGCGGGAACTCTGGAAAGTTTCAAAAGGAGGCTGGATAGATTCATGGATGATAGAGTGGTAGTAACTCTCGACAGGAGCTGCCATGCACAGGCCAACCGGCCTATTGCAGACTCCTTAGTTTCTTATGTTCTTATGTTAACGCCAGCACAGTAATACAGTTATACAGTACTGTAAAGAGGACAGTAGAAAGATGTTTGTTAGACAGCAATGGACAGTAGAAAGTGCCTTGTTGTAAAGTGACATTGCTGAAAGACACATTTCACATGCATGTGCATAAACACACATACTCAATCCAGAGAGTATTATTTTTTTTACCTTCGTGTTTTTCTTCTTTCCTTGTGGTTATCAGCATATATATATATATATATATATATCCAATAATTAAATACAATTAATTGAAAACTGTTTAGTTTTAATTCCCTAGTGAAGCCAAGAAGCAGCAGTTTAATCGTCCAATACAGAGCCAGTCATTTGGTTTCTTTCAGGGATCAAGTGGCATTGTCCGGAAGTGAAATCGACACAGAGGGCTGCTGGTCTCACTACTTCACTGTAGTAATAATATCATGTTAAGTGGATGTAGTAAATTTTATAAGTGGGTGAAGAGCCAGAAACAAAGGCCTGTATCTCTTGTTTTATCTCTATTACAATGTCACCCCCCACCCCCTCACAATCTCTCTCTTGTGTATCAAGTGTGTGGTCAGGGCAGGGCGAGGTTTATCAGAGCAGTGGGCCCAACATTAAGATAAGCCGCTAGCTATCCCTAATGATGTCCCTCGTAAATGAGGCTGGCCGACCATCTCACCTTAATAGCTGTGTTGTGACCCTATACCTGTGTTTTGTTAGTCATGTATGTGTGTCTGTCTATAATGCTTCAGGTCTCCTTGCAGACGACTGAAAGATGTAAATTCTCTGTCGTTTCATTTGTTTACCCAAGACAGATGATTAGTTACACACACACACACATTGAGAAAGAGATTATAAGGGAAGAGCAGTGAAGATGTGTGTAACTAATAAAATAAGAAAAACATATGGATCCCAAATAAAGTGAAGAAAGAGAGAGACACCTCCAGACACTCCTGAACACTACCAGACACTTCTATACACCGCCTGACAGTCTTGTACACCAAAGTCTCCTCTACACTACCACACACTCCTGTGCACTGCCAGACACTCCTATACACTGTCAGATACTCCTGTACACTGCCGGACACTCCTGTACACTGCCGGATACTCCTGTACACCGCCAGACACTCCAGTACACTGCCAGACACTCCTGTACACCGCCAAACACTCCAGTACACTGTCAGATACTCCTGTACACTGCCGGACACTCCTGTACACTGCCAGACACTCTTGTACACTGCCAGACACTCCTGCACACTGCCAGACACTCCAGTACCTGCCAGACACTCCTGTGCACTGACATACACTGCCAGACACTCCTGTACACTGCCGGACACCTGTACACTGCCGGACACCCTCATGACACCCTGTACACTGCCAGACACTCCTGTACACTGCCAGACGCCCTGTACACTGCCAGGACAACCCTGTACCTGCACACTGCCAGACACTGCCTGACACTGCCGGACACCCTGTACACTGGGACACTCCCTGTACACTGCCAGACACTCCTGTACACTGCCGGACACACCAGTACACTGCCGGACACTCCTGTACACTGCCAGACACTCCTGCATGCCTGCCAGACGCTCCTGTACACTGCCAGACACTGCCAGACGCCCTGTGCCAGACACTCCTCGACTTTTCCGCCCTGGACACTCCTGCACACCCAGACACTCCTGTACACTGCCAGACACTCCATTACGCACTGGACATCTCACACTACCCGGACCTACACTGCCAGACACTGCCAGACTCCTGTACACTACCAGCCAGACAATCCTTTTACAGGACCTCCTCTACACTGCCAGACACCCTGCATTTATTCAGACACTGCCAGACACTCCTCTACACTGTACACTGCTGACACTCCTGTACACTGCCGGACACCTCTACACTGCCAGACACCCTGCACATTGCTAGACCCTGTACACTGCCGGACACCCTGTACACTTGACACTCTACACTGCCAGACACTCCCAGTACACTACACTGCCGGACACTCCTACACTGCCAGACACCTGTACATTGCCAGACACCTGTACACACTGCTGACACCCCTGTACACTGCCAGACACTCCTGACACTCTTGTACACTGCCAGACACTCCTGTACACTGACGGACACTCCTCCTGTACACTTGTACACTGCCAGACACTGCTGAACCTCCTGTACACTGCGGACACTCCTGTACACTGCCAGACACTCTGTACACTGCACCTCTCTTTAGACCTCCCATACACTGCCAGGAATACTCTTGTACACTGCCAGACACTCCTGTACACTGACACTCCCTGTACCTGCAGGACTCCTGTACACTGCCACTTGTACACTGCCAGACACTCTGCACACTGCCGGACACTCCTGTACACTGCCTACTCTTGTACACTGCCAGACACTCCTGTACACTGCCAGACACTCTTGTACACTGCCAGACACTCCTGTACACTGCCGGACACTCCTGTACACTGCCGGACACTCCTGTACACTGCCGGATACTCTTGTACACTGCCAGACACTCCTGTACACTGCCAGATACAGGTTAATGGGCAATATTACGAAGGTTTTCAGTAGAAGAATTCTTTCTTTTTCTCAAGAACACAGGTACTCTTTTACAAGCTGGTTAAGGATCTGGGTTGAAAATTTTAAAATTCGAGTAATTAGTATTAACAGTAATCATTCTGCTGCCATTCTAGGTGCCAGTGTTACAACAGTCATGACAACAGGATGAGGGAGGAAATAAGGGTATAGTGACTGGACTGACTCGCTGAGAAATAAGAAATAAGAGTAAAGTTAAGTATTTGACCGATGAATACTGTATATGCCCAAGACCAGACCCACTAACCCACAAGGAGGCCGCTCCACCTAAGGTATGTATGCTAGGTCCAGGAACCAAGCCAAGGAGTGCAGGAGGGCTGAAAAGAGAGTTACAGAGGTGAGTTGCAAACCAAAGCGTAGAAAATCTTACCTACTGGCAACTGTACTACAATAGAATGACAACATATACCGATAGAATGTTGTGTGTGTGTGTGTGTGTGTGTGTGTGTGTGTGTGTGTGTCGGAAGAAAGCAGTCATGCTCATAGGTCTACTGCAGTGGTCGGCCGTTTTTTGTCAGTCTTTCCACACCAACTTTAAAACTCACTTGACAATTCTTTTTTTCGGCTCTACAAGAAGACTCGACTAACACTTACATACGGAAGGTAGCTGTTGTCACCAGTGTCCGTATGAACGTTTGCTGAACACAGGAGGAGGTGGGGGGTGTGTCAAGGCTGTGTTGACCGCTTGTTGCTGCAGCCCATCTCGGAATAGAAAAGCAAGTTAGATAATGCATACATATACAAACTCTCTTTCTCTCTATTTAATCATCACTCATAAAGGAGAGAGAGAGAGAGAGAGAGTCAGCCAACACAGGGTCCCATGAGTGTCAAGTGATGATGGGGGCGGGTACTATAGGGGGAGGGGGGTTGTATGGTAGCTCTTATAATCATATCATCTGCCACACACCCCGGGGAGGGCCCGAGGTACGAGAGGGGTGGAAACATGGATATTGGGAGAGGAGAGAGACAGACGGACAGAGAGGGAGAGGGAGATAGTGAGAGAGGTGCAAGCGGGGATAATTGGACAGGATAGGAGAGACACACACACACAGAGTACTGTCTATATTGGTACTGTCTATATTGGTACTGTCTATATTGGTACTGTCTATATTGGTACTGTCCACAATGGTACTGGCACCGTTCTCTCGTCGATTTGAAAAATTTACAAACGTCACGTGAATCATTTCTAATGCATTTACAATTTAAACTACGTCATTTACATTTACAAACCTTAACTAAATCATTTTCATTTACAAAGTCAACTAAAGCCCTTCTTCTTCCCTCTCCTCCTCCTCCTCCTCAGAGAACCTGGTTACCTCTCCTAAGATGTGATTGAACTGTGAATCAAGTAAGAATAGTTTTATGTGCTGCTACACTCGGCAAATTGTTATTTCGCGCCTAAAATTGACTGTTAATGCCCGTGCTGACGATTGTCGGGACGCGAGTTTAAATCTGGTGCAGGCGCGCGAAGTCCCAAGGGTGTGATTGGCTGGCTTGTAATCGTGCTCGCGTCATGATTAGTTGCCTCAGGGAACAGCCCGCCCGACGACCAATTAGACGGGAGAATTGCAAATGGGCGACCAATCATGTGGAATGAGGTGAGGGAGGCTGCGGGGCTGGCAACAAGGTGCGGCTAATGATGTAAGAACTACTTTTAGATTGAATTAACGACGAGGTGAAGAAGCGGTAATCCAAAGGCACGAGGAAAGAGGGTAAGGGGAGATGGCTGGCGACCGGACCTTCTCACCACCAACACTACATTCTCTTAAAGATTCGGACGCTCATTTGTTTCCTCCCGTTCTTATATTACCGGAATTTCTTAAAGATGAATTTCTAAACAACAAACTCAAGCCTTGATATAATATTAACTTCTAAAATGGCGCTGAGACCTTACAGAAAATCTTAATGTTATTTTAAAGGTTTATTATCAGCTAGATCATGAATGATTTGACGTAAGAACTGACAGGTTTTTGCTTTTTTTTACTCAAAC